GGTGGGGGCGGGGGGCAGGCTGAGGAGACCCGGAGGGCTTGGGTGCATACATCAGCCACTGCCACGCTTTCCCAGAGAGGGAACCTGAGGCTGGGCAGATTCCCAGCCCGGACTAGGCCCAGGCACACAGGGTAGACCGTTCCTGGAGGGCGGGAGCCACACTTGCCCCTGTACCCAGTGCACCCGCGCCTCACCCTCCCCAAGATGCCAGGTTTCTTGGCCCCCAAGCCCACCCTTGGGGGTCCTTGGCCAGCAGTCAAGGAACCGGCCCTCCTCCCCCCCACCAGGGCTATCCCAGTGCCTGTCCTACCACAGAGCTGCAGCCACAGAAGGACCCGGCCCAGCGCACCCATGGTCTCTCCAGCTTAGCAGACAAGAGACTTTGCCCTGCAGGGCACACGTGACTGAGCAGGGTGGGGTCACACATTTCCCTGCAGACCCGCCCTCCGCTGTCCCCTCAGGGAGCGCATTCTTGGCTCACTCCCTCCCCCACAACCCCCATTCCTGCGCTGAGGACCTCAAAGCACTTGCCCAGGAACTGTTGGGAGTCCAGGGACACACACCTTTTCCAGTTCCAACTGTGGCCACAGCTGCACCTAGTCCCCCACCCTCCATGCAGGCCCCCCTCCTCCTCTCCTTGTGGTCTCTGGGTGGGGGGGGTGTGATTGAAGGACAACACTGTGATTGGGGGGTGGCGAAGAGGGGTGGAAGGAGGGTGGGGTGCACGGTGAGTTGGAGGTTGACTAGGAGTCTCTTTGTGGCTCAGCGATCGGTGGGTGATTTGAAACACCACCTCTACCGCCTCCGTCCGTGACCGGCTCCCCCAGAGGCACACTGGAAGGAGGGCTGACACTCTTCTTGGAAACTCCCTGGAGCACACATAGGGTCACCATGTTGCCAGGTGCCATTGAATCGGTCCCGACTCATCGCTGGCCGACCTGTGCACGACAGAAGGACGCACCAGCTGTCCCCGCGCTGTCCCCACACGTGTTCTCCTGGCTGAGCCCGGGGTGGCAGCCACGGTGTCCGTCAGTCTTGTCTGGAACCTTGTTCACTCGCCCTCTCCCAAGCATGACGTCCTTTCCCTGGGACGGGGCTCTCCTAACATGTCCAAAGCATGTGAGCCAAACAAATTCTTGTCCTCTTGGCTGCTAAGGAGTGTTCCGACTGGACTTCTTCCCAGACAGACTTGCTGGTTCTGTGGGTCCCCAGTGCTGTCCATGCTCTTGGCCAGCACCATCATGCAAGGGCATCGAGTCTTCTATGGTCTTCCTTACTCAAAGTCCAACTTTCACGTGCATAGGGGGCCGTTGACATCCCATAGCTTGAGTCAGGCACCCCGGAGTCCTCAAAGGAACATCCTGGCTTTTCAGCCGCCTAAAGAGGCCTGGAGCCACATGACAACTTCAACCTCTTCTTTGACCATGAAAGAGCAGTCAACAGGTTTACCTAGCGGTCCAGTTCTGAGGATTTGGGTCTTCCTGACAGTGAGTCCTGATCCACCCTGAAGGCTGCACTCCTTGATCTCCCTTAAGTCCGCCTCCCTTTTAGCAGCAAGGTTGTGCCTTCTGCCTATCGCAGGCTGTCAATAGCCTTCCTTCACTCCTGCGGCCACGTTCCTCTTCGCAGAATCCAGCTCCTCTGACTTGCCCCACATACGGATGGACTAAGTACAGTGAGAGGATACAAGCTTGATGCACACCTTTTAAACCAGGCAGGATTCTCTTGTTCTGTTCACACACCTGCGTCTTGATTCATGTTCAGGTTCCTCATGAACATGATCAGGTGTTCTGGAATGATCATTCTTCTCAGAGTTATCCATCGTTAGTTAAGAGCCAGCGTAGATGCTTTTTTAATAGTCCATAAAACACAAGTAAACAGCTTTCTGGTATTCTCTGCCTTGACATCTGACACCAGCAATGATCTCCCTGGTTGCACGTCCTCTTCGGAATCCAGCCTGCACCCAGGGCAGCTCTCTGTCAATGGACTGCTGCAAGTGTTCCTGGGTGATCTTCAGCAAACTCACTTGCATGTGGTATCAACGCTATTGTTCTATAATTTGGCCGTTCTGTAGGACCACTCTTCTTCGCAATGGGTACAAATATGGATCTCTCCCAGGCAGTTGGTCAGGTAGCTGCCTGCTAAATTTCCTGGCAGAGATGAGGGGGTGCTTCATCGGTTGTTGGGAACATTGTCAGTGAGATCCCCTCCATTCCGGGAGCCCTTTTTTCGGCTACAGCCTTCGCTGTCAGTGGTTCCTGCTCACGTGCTGCTGCTTGAGATGGTGGCCTGTCCACTGGCTCTTTCGGTCCCATGACTATGTCCTCCTTCCATCTCCCTTTGATGTTCACGTCGGGTTACGCCCTCTCCAGCAATGAACGCACAGCAGTAGGTGGGAGGTGAGTGGAGGGATGGGAGGTGGTGGCCGAGTGGACAAATGGAGAGTCACAGAGGGACTTGAGGTAGAGAAGATGTGCGTGTGGTCGGAAGGGTGAGCGATGGAGGAGGTGGTGACTCGTGGCTGTCACAAGGAAATAGCCATCAACAAGTCACACAACGTAATGCATTGGGCAAATCTGCTGCCAGCAACCTCTTTAACCTGGACCCAGGGGTCTCTCTCTCCCACCTCCTGCCCTCCCCGCAGGCTTCCTACACAGGTCAGGGTCCTGGGGCTGGGGGTCTTCAGGCTGGTTCCTGGTTCTAAACGTGCACCAATCACCATGGCCAGGATGGCTGTGCTTCCATTGGCTGTGCCCTTTTGCCCACACTTTCCAGGTGGAGGTGTGAGGTGTGCTGCTGCGGCCGGGGGTGGGGTAGTGTAGCAGGAACTGGGCAAAGTGCCCAGAAGCCCCACTCAGACACTACATGGGTTCCCCATGGGTTCCCCCCACCTCCCTCAACTCTGTGGGGACCTCGGGTTCAATCTCTGGCCCTTCCCAACTTCTGGGTCAGCTGGGAGGGTAACCATGACCTTCCCCACCCTCTCTGATGGAGGAGGCTAGACCTCAGAGACGGGGGGGACAGCTCCTGTCTGTGGGGTCACCTCCCCAGAGGCCCTGAACCGCCTGAGCCTTGGTATTTGTTCTCACAGTGGGCTCTGTCATGCTTGCTCTTCAACGTGCTCGGTTTTCAGCATCGTGGGCACCCCAAGCCCCCAAGGAGCAGGGAAGACAGTCTAGTGGCGCCTCCAAAGTCTGTAGGCCTGCAGACTGGGTAAGGCGAAGGTTCGGGGACTCTGTCCTTAAGGGAGCTGGGAGCCTCCTGCCAACGGTTCCATCCTCCAGCTGAATCTCTCTTCTTCAGGGAAACTTTGCTCCGGCCCCTCCGTCCAATCACATGCCAGCAGCCAGGCTGGGCACCCTCCTGGGCTTGCTGAGGAGGTGGACGAGGGTGAGCCAGGCTGGAGTTTGTTGGTGGCCTGGTCGCTGGGGGCTGGGGTTGATAGGAGCGATACAGTGTCAGGAGATGGGGGAGGGGTTTCCATCGCCACCCAGGGCAGAGGCAGGTGGCCCCCTTTGAGACAGCCTCAGCTGGCTGGGCCCCTTGCCAGGTGCCCCCTGGAGGCAGGCTCTCCCTCAGTGACTGCAGCCTGGCCAGGGGGTGGGGCTGGCGGTGGTGGTGGTGGTAGTGGGGGGTGATGAACTCTTCTGGAAGGGAGGCAGCTCCACCTTGCTGGGCATCCCTTTTCCCCTGGGGCCATGGGGTGAAGGAGACCTCCCACGGGAGGTGCTGAGGGCTTGGGCACTGGCAGGGAGTCACCCCAACAAGTCACCCAAACCCACACCAGGATGGGAGGGGTCTTTGCAAGCCTCCTTCCATCCAGCCACCCACCCTCCGCTCATTCTTGACTGAGACCGAAAACCCACTGCCCTCCAGCGACCTCAGACTCACGGCTGAGAGATGGGGGGGCCTTTGGAGAGACGGAGCACGCTGCCTTTCTCCGGAGGCTCTGCTGGGCAAGCTCAGAACGCCAACTTTCAGCTTCGTCATCCAGCACCGTCTCTTGGCGTCACCGGGACCAGAGGGTGTCGCCCGCCCGTCCTTCCTGTTACCGGGAGGAGGCTCGTTTCCAGCCTCTCCACTCCTCAGCTCTTGTCCCGTTCATAAGAAAGACTCCAGGCAATTCACACAGAGTGATCCGAGGTTGGGAAATCGTCTAATCCAACTCCCAGAAGGAAAGGGTCTCTGAGCTGATGTTGGGAACACCAGGTCTGCTGGAGGCTATGGACAAGAGTGGATGCCCAACATTCACTGAAGGGTCCACACACAGGTTCGGCCCTCAGGTGAACCCCTGACCATAGTTGAGGGAGGTGAATAGCTTTGTTATCAGACAGAGCTACGTGCAGAAGACTATAGTAGACACGAGGTAAAATGTGCTCTTACTTAATCTCCCCCTGACCCATCTAAAAGTGGTTTCAGTTATAAAAAGGGAAGGGGAAATACACGTGGATTAAGCCTCCGGTGAACCCCTTGGACCAAAGACCAGGGATGTGGATAGCGTTGCTCCCACGCAGAGCGCGGTGGGAGATGGACTGCGGCAGATGAGGTCAGGTTGAGATTTAACGCCTCATCACTGGGTCTCCCTCTGACCCACTTAAAGGTGGTTCTGGTTTTCCGTATGTTCTGCTTGCTTTTCCATTGAGGCTTTTCTCTGTTACTGTTGTGTTTGTTTTGTTTTTTGTTTGTTTCTTTGTTTTTGTTGTTTTTCGGTCTATAAAATCCAGGATGGGTGACTCCAGAGGCAGGAACTGGGTTAATGGTTTCCTGGGAGAACAGCAGGGGAGGGTGTGTGTGTGGATCAATGGGAGCTCATAACAAAATGCGCACGAGAAAGATGAAAAAAATGTTCTAAAACTGTTGGTGGTGATGACTATACAACCCTTGTTCGGACTGATCCGTTGAAGTGTATGATACGTGGATTGGGTGCCAATACGATGATGATGATTTTTTTAAAGGTTGAATAGAAAGAGTGGGCTTATTGAAAGGGATACTTTGAAAATGAAGCCCAACGGGCCCTTAGCTCATCTAGAAGACCCGGCAGAACTGGGGTTGACATTCTGCAGATGGCGGACCCCCCCACCCCCACCCCCCAGGCTGGCTTTCTGGCAGTCCTGTGCTGTCCACTGGTCCTCTGTGGCACGTGTCCCGGCACCACAGCCTTCACACCCAGAACGCGGTTCTCTCGGGGTTGATGACCATCCTTCCTGGCCTGGGCCACTCCATGAGCCCCAGGTGTCTCACTGATGAGAACGTGTGTTCCATTCCACACCACGCGCCCACCCCGCCACGGCCGAGCCAGAGAGCTCTGCTCAGAAGGTCTCCATCTCTTGTGTCAGGACTCCTGCATGATCCCCCCACCCCCA